GGTCAGTTGTTTTTCAAAGAGCTATTTCATGTTCTCTTCTATGTTTTCATTATTTTGATTTTATTTCTTTATTTACCAATATTATTATATAAAATAATATTAATATTATGTGTTGGATGGTATCAACATTATTATCATTATTGTTGTTTCTTATGAAATCATTAGCTTCCCCTTGCCCAATTCTTATTTTTAAGGAGTTATTTTCTTCAGTAAATTTTTGAATCTTTTTCCAATTGGTTGACTTTTTATAATTTTCTTTATCTTCTTGCATTATTTTTTTATTATTCTTTTCCCAATTTTTCCTCTACCCCTCATTTTTTTTAAAGTCCTTTTTAAGCTTTTCCAAGAATTCTTTTGGGGAGAGAATTCTGGGAAGGTGGCAGAGTAGGTCAGAAAATTTCAAGCTCTCAAAATTTTCCTCCACAAAAGAGATAAAAGAGCACCTCAGGGTAAACATAGAGCAGTGAAAACAAATAACAGTAGGGGCAGGTTACCTCCAGGCTAGGAGGTGTTTAACAACACCTTTAACAACAGGCTTGAAGCTGCTTGAACAACAAGCCCTGGGGTTAGCTGGTTTGGGAGGGTGCCTCAGGCCGAGCCACAGGAACTTTTACTTCGGGGACAGCAAGGGGAGTTCGGAAGTCTGACCTGGGGAAGATCCAAGGAAACCTCTTCTGACTAGGAATGCCAGACCCAGCTGTGCTGCAGAGAGCAGCTGGGTGAGAAGGAACCAGCACATGCCCAGTGAGTGCAGAAGCAGTGGGGTGGGGACACCTTTGCTGTGGGCACTTATAGGAGGCTGGAGGTCTTGGTTTGAGTTCAAGGTCACAAGGGTGAACCGAAGAGGATTAGAGGCACCATCCCCCATACTCCAAGACTAGAGGTGATTACAAAAACTAAATTAATACAAAAAAAAATGCACAGCCAAAGGACAAAGAATTCAACCATAGAGAGCTATTATGGGAATAGAGAAGATGAGGTTGGTCTTCAGAGAAGGATACTGAAGCAAAGAAACCCTCTTCTACCCCAAAGAGTAATGTCAAATGGTCACCTGCCCAAAAAGAATTCATTGAAGAACTTAAAAAAGACTAAAAATAAAATGAGAGAGACTGAGGAAAAACTAAAAAGAAAAAATAAGAATAATATGAGAAAAACAAGATTATGAAAAGAAAGTCAACCAATTAGAGAAGGAGATCCAGAATCTTTTTTTTTTCTTAGGCAATTGGGGTTAAGTGACAAGATACAGAATCTTAAGGAAGAAAATGATTGCTTGAAAATCAAAATTGGGCAAGGGGAAGCCAGCAAAGTTATAAGAGATGAAGAAATTAAAAAAACAAAATATAAAGAATGAAAAAATAGAAGAGATTATGAAATGTCTCATAAAAACAATGGATCCACAGATCAGATCAAAAAGAGAAAACACAAGAATAATTGGACTACCTGAAAGTTCTGATAAAAAAAATTGATACAATAATACAAGAAATAATTAAATAAAACTGTCCTGAAGTATTAGAACAAGAGGGGAAAGCAGAAGTAGAAAAAATCCACCAATCACCACCTGAAAAAGATCCTAGGAGGAAAACTCACAGGATTATAATAGTCAAATTTTGAAACCCCCAGATCAAGGACAAAATATTACAAGCAACAAGAAAAAAAAAACAATTTACATACAGTGGTACCACGATTAGAATCACACAAGACCTAGCAGTGCTGATACTAAAAGATATCAGGTCTTGGAACACTGTGTGTTGAAGAGCAAAAGAACTGGGCTTCTGGCCAAAAATATACCCAGCAAAGCTAAGCATAATCCTGAATGGAAAAACAATGGACATTTGATCAATTATCAGACTTTCAGGTCTTTGTTTAAAAAAACAAAATACAAAAAACAAAAAAAGGGTTTTTTGAAACCCCTGAACTCAGAAGATTAACATACAACAGCCAAGAGAAATATAAGGCACATACCAAAGACCAATTACAAGGGACTAAATAAATATAGAATGTTTACCTTTTATGTATGAAAAATGTAAAACCTATGTCTACGATTGTTACTGGTAATAAGGTAACTTATAAGAAAGATTGGGGTACACCTGAGTATTATTTGACTTCAAAAAGTAAAACCATGATTGGGTTAAATCAACTATTTGAAAATCTTGTCAGCCCTGGTGTTTATACATGAGCTGAGAGCTCTTCCTCTCCCCCCTTTTTCTCAGAGACCAGAGTTCAAATCTGTTGTTCCAAAGAGAAACTCTGGATGAGGGTATGGACCAAAGAATAGGATGAGTGATAAGCCCCCAAGACTGAAACATGGTTCAGGTGAATTCAAGACATCAGTTCTTGGAGTTATCATTTTAATGCTTACTATGTGAAAGGCAGTGTGCTAGGTGCCAGGGATATAAAGATGAAAAACCACACAGTCCTTGCCCTCAAGGAGTAATATAATCTAAAGGAAAGGGGCAGAATATGATGAAGACTTTAACAAATGGAGACTTGGAGAAGGGAAAAGATTGAGAAAGAGAATCTATTTGCAGTAAGAAGATGGTGTAAAATAAAGACAAGGAGGTTGGACAAGTGAATGATGGAATTGTCCAGTTTGATTGAAAAGTAGAATAAGGAAAGAAGAGCAGGAAGAGATAAATAAGAATCATTATTGGTGAAACAATGGGGGAAAAAAAAGGCTCAAGTCAGGGCCACAGTAAGAATTCTGCAAGTCTAAGGAGTACAGAATTTCAAAGTGACAATTAGAGTGATTTGTCCTTTACAATTGGCATTAGTGTCTGCCACCAGGATTATTCAGTAATCACTCTTCAGGAAATAACCATGAATTATAGCTAAAAATTGATTGTAATTGTCCCCACCCATCAGAGTTTAGGCCATGGAGACTGGGGAACGCAGAGAACAGTAGAACACAGAGTCCTATTCAGGGAACTCCAATGAAGTTGCAAGGTCAAAGGAAAGTGGAAATTTAAAGAGAAAAAGGGGGCCAAAGGATTATAGCTTTTTTTTCTTTTTTTTTTTTAGATTTTAGAGCTAATGCAACGCTGTCATTTTACAGATGAGAACACTGAGGCTCAGAGCATTAAACAACTTGCCCAGATTCATATATCTAGTGTTAGAGGCAGTATTTGTACCTAGGTCTTCCTGACACCAAGTTGAACTTGGTCTATCGACTATGCCATAGTGCCTCAGATTTAGGGAGGGGAAAGATCAGCAAATGAGGCCAGGTTGGGCTCATGTTCAGCCCGGATCCTTAGGGCCAATTAGAGTTTATTCAGGGAGTAGCATGTCAATGTGGCATAATGGTTAAGCTCTGGCAGTTACTAAAATGAGTTTGCATTCAGAAAAAGAGACTTGGCAGGGTAAAGAACCCACATGGGTGTTAGAGTGGGTAAGGAAGGTAGGGAAAGGGAAATAGAAAGCAACCATTCTTGATCATGGATAATCCACAGAAGTGGACAAGGAAGAGCAGCAACATCATCCCTTTCCTACCTCTCTTATTCAATCCCCCAACATGTTCATTGGTTCCAATGTCTTTTGCCACAAGTCACCACCTGCTCCCTCCCCTCCCAAGGTAAACTTTAATCAGAGTCATCTTCATTATCTAGAACTAGAAAAGTCAGACATCATCTGTCTCAGTCCCACGATGCCTTCCCTCAGAAACTCATTTGAAACCAAAGGAAAATAAGCCAGATTTCCTTAAGCCTGGAACAGTTAGTGTGCTGTTGCTCAGGCATGAAGTTAGATTGGTGTAGACAATGCTGATGCAAGGCTGTGTCCCTGCCTGAAGGTCAGTATTGATACAAGAAATTTGGGAGAAGACAAGCAGTCTTCTAGATGACACCTCTGATACCTGACTCTCTTTAGGACCAATTCTACACATGGGCAGAGGGTAGGGGTGGGTGTGTGTGTGGGGAGAAAGAGAGCAACACACACACACACACACACACTTTGGAAGCTGCAGACATATAGCAGAAGCTAACTCCTCAATGTGTCTCTGATTTCTAGTCTGCCTCCCTTAGAGACTTCAAAGAATTGTTTCTTGGGTAAGAACGGACCTCTTTAATGAAATACCTTGCTTCTAGCAAGAGTTCATTTATTCTGTATTTTCTGGTATTCTCTAATCTGTGTAACTTTTCCAGGCTCTGGTATCTTCTTCGATAAATGGGTTTAGTCACTCTTTGCTATTTGTGAATCACTGTGATGGTCTTTTACATAACCATGGTTTGGTAGGAAGGAATCAAACTGATAAGCGAAAGCTAAAAAAGTGCTAGCAGCTAGGCAAGTGACATTTGTTCTCAAAACTATGCCAGAAGGTCAGCAATATGGTGAGGGTGGGGGGAGAGATATAATTCTAGTCCAGTAACTTTTCAGAAACTGGAGAATCCAACAGTCAATCTTGTGACCTTTGCCTCCTTTTCTGTAGACAAGAATCATAATCTAGACACTATGAGGGAAGCAGGCAAGATATCTATCAATGCCTTCCACGAACCTCATTAAGGCAACTCATGTGGACATAGATGGGCAGCACCCACATATTACAGGGAATTTGGTATACATTCTACATATAACCACTGACTTTTGGTCCCTTTCCTGGCAAACTACCCTACCTGATTGTGTATTCCCAGAGTATCTTCTCAGTTCATCTGCCTTCTTTATTGACCAAGGATGTATTTTAATACTTCATCAATGAGAATTTTCTCTATTGTTCTGCTAATTGATTGATTGATTTTTCATAGCCATGACTAAGGATTTCTTTGTCCTATAGTTTTTAAATCCCAAAATGGATCTATTTCACACTGCTGTAAGCCACAAGTTGGTGAGTTCCACATTATCCTCCTACTGATTTCTGAGTCCATTCCAAATTCCTTTAACAAATTTCTCTAACAATTGGTCTCTTCCAAATTTTCCTGACCACTGATTGATATCAGATTGCCCTGCCCACTGATTAATTGATCCACACACAAAGTCCTTTTTACCAAATTATTTATTCTAGCCTACCCTCTTACCAACTGGCTCTGTTTTTATCTATACCATTCTTTATTGTTTGTCTTACTGATTGCCTTATTTACTCTGTATTTTCCTCTTTTTATTCCTGTAGCCTATTCCTCCTTCTTTACACCCTCAGCCCTCAGTACAGCAATGGAGATGGTTCTTGAAGAAGTGAAGGGCCATCTTGTACTGGATCTCTACCTCAGAATTGAACTGGAATTAGCTATAGGATTTCTTCAAGGGAGAATTCTCTGATCCAGGTGCCAGGTCTTGGAGCTGGTGATGAACCATCACATCTGAACAAGATTCTACTTGAAAACTCCCCATACCGTCAACAAAAAATCCTACAAGGAAGAGAAAATAGAGATTAGAGCTGAAGAGTTTCGGACTAAAGGTCAAAATAGCCAGTAGTGTCACCCCCTATAGGCAAGAGTCCTATTTTGGGAGATCCAGGTGAAGAACAAGACAGTCCTGATCTTAGGGCTTTCTGGTCCGATGAGCATCACAATGCAGAGATGTAGAAAGAGAGAAAAATGCAGACTCTCCAGGTTAAAAGCTCTAGATCTCAGGGTTAAGAAGTAAAAGAGAAATTCAGGACTGAAGGCTGGGGAGGGTTCTATTGGAGGGCATGGAAACAGATTCTGGAGACTCTTGAAGTGGGACAAAATAAGGAGGCAGACAAGCTCTTCAGTTTCAGGTGGAGGTTTGGAAACATGGTTTAAAAAATGGTGTGTTCTCTGAAATACAGGCTAATTTTTAACCTTACCTGAATGTACTACTCTCTGCAGCCTAGGATCAAAACCAATCCCATGGAAGCTTCTCTGTGTGAGCCAAGAAGAAACTGGAATACCACTTGTTATCACACAATTGGGGAAGCCATTCAAGTCCTGGAAGGATCCTACTCGCATGTGAATGCAGCTACCATCTTCACCTTCGGCCAACAGCAGCTTGAACAGGAATGAATTCCCAGCCACACTGCCACCTACCAACCCAAGATGGTGAAGAACAGAAAAATGGGCATTAAGGAACTCAATGGGCTCAGCACTCATCTTTCCTCTCCCTGGGAAATCTTTCAGAAATAATTCATATAATTATTATCATGATGATTCTCTTGGTCTACCCATCCACTCGGCTCAAGGACTCTCAGATTCTTAAACTCCACAATAGCTGGCCCCCCACCTCCCGTCTCTTCCATGCTCTACTTTCTCTATTCAACAAGGCTCAGCAATACAGTAATCCAAGACAACTCTGAAGCACTTATGGTGAAAAAATGCTGTTCATTCCCAGAGAATTGACAGTGTCTGAATACAGATTGAAGCATACTTTTTTAAACTTTATTTTTCTTGAGGGTTTTTATTTCAGTCTATGTTTTCATTCACAATATGACTATTACGGAAATGTTTTGCACGACTACACATGTTTGACCTTTATCAACCTGTTTGCCTTCTTGTTGAGGGAGGGGGAAGAGGGAGGAATGGAGAGAATTTGGAACTCAAAGTTTTAAAAACAAATGTCAAAAATTGTTTTATATGTAACTGGGGGAGGGGATACTAAATAAATTGAAAGAAAACAAACAAAAAAAAACAAGGTAAGAACATTTCAATCATTTCTACTATTGTTACTATGTTCAGACTACTGTTCAACGTACTACAGCTCTGATTTCTGAGATCACTTTTGGGACTGTTCTAGATAGCTAGGTGGCACAGTAGGTAGAGTGCTAGATCTGGAGTTAGGAAGACAAGTTCAAATCTAGCCTCAGACACTTACTAGCTGTGTGACCCTAGGCAAGTCACCTAATTTCTGTCTACCTCAGTTTCCTCAACTGTAAAATGGGGGTTATTATAGCATCTCCCTCACAGAGTTGTTTTGAGGATCAAATATGATAATATTTATAATATGCTTAGTGTCTGGCACATAGTAGAAAAAATTCTTATTCCTTTCCATATTTTACAATGCTGACTGTAGAACAATGGGTTCAGGGATTTAACCTATTTTTGACAGAGTTTAGAGCAGGGGTGGGAAACCTGTGACCTTGAGACCACATGTGATCCTCTAGGTCCTCACAAGTGGACAAAGTTTGGATTCAGTCAAAGGGCTGCACATGAGGACCTAGAGGGCCACATGTGGCCTCAAGGCCACAGGTTCCCCACCCCTGGTTTAGTGCATTTTTAGTGCATTGCAAGTGTCTGATAGGGACAGAGGACAGTTCTCTCCACCCACAACACTTATGCCAGGAATCAGAGAGTTTATATATATATATAATATGTATATATATATATATATATACACACAAATATGTGTGTGTGTGTGTGTGTGTGTGTGTGTGTGTGTGTATCCTATCCCTCTAACATAATCCCTGCCCTCTCCAGGTGACAGAAAACCCAGTCCAAAGGGGAATGCCACTGGGTCTTAGAAATCCCAAGGCTAAATGGAGCCATCATGAGGAAATGGGTACTAGAGGTCAGAGGCTGGCACTTGAGATAAAAATTAGAGCAATTTGAGTGTAGTAGGCAGGAGTAAAGCTCTGGTTAAGGAGGACAGTGAGGACAAAGGGAGTGGGTAAGAAGGCAACAGATAATGCAGAAGAAAGGAACCATGGGCAAATCCAAAGGTGAAAACTGAGTTACAGGGAAACAAGCCAATGGGATGCAAAGCTTAGAATATCAAGGGAGTCAGGCAATCTGACTGCCTGACTCATGGTTCATCTAGAAAGACTCATATCAGGAATGCTAGTGTTTACGTTCCCTTAATCCTCACCCCTTCCCATCCTACTAAAGTATTGCAGTTGTGGTACCATTGGACAAGAAAAGTGCCAATACTCCCTAGGAAGGTGAAATAGCTCAAGGGCAACAGAATAGAGAATAGCACTTGAGGAAGGGAATGTTCCACCATAAGGTGGAGTGTGGGGTCTTAAGTGGGAGTGAGGAAAGGGCATAAAAGACAAATATTGCCACCTGGGCAATCCTGCCTCTGGCCCTTGCTCTGATACTTAATAGCTGGCAAGTGATTTAACCTGAGTCTCAGTTCCCTCATCTGTAAAATGGGGATAAACCTATTGAAGCTACCTCAAAAGATCGTGAGGTTGAAATGACAAGGTGTTTTGCAAGCTATAAACTGCTATCTGCCCATTATTATTAATAACAATAATAATCAACAATAATTCATAAAGTACCTACTATGTAACAGGCACTATCCTAGGCAAGAGACTGATCCTACCCTCAAGGAACTTGTGTTCTACTGAGTAAAGGGAAATAAAACATATTCACAAATAATTAGCTACAGGATATGTATTAACTACATGTAGCACAGGTGATCAAAGAAATTCCTAATTCTGAGGCCAAAATTTGAATCAAGCCACCAGGCAACTGAGACGAAAGTCAAGGATTCCTACAGAGGGATGGATTTAATCCAAATCACTGCATCTAGAATGACGGAAGCAACAGCATTCAGACTACAAAGGAACAGAACCAAACAGCGCCTGATGATCTTATCTATTGTCAAAGAATGAGCAGAATTTTGCCCAAGCACAAAGTCCCAGAAGCCAAGACTGGCAATATGAGTAAACAGAAGAAAATGCTAAGCCCAGCAAAGAATACTCTAGGTTTAAAGAGGCCCAGGAGGTAAACACAGAAGAGAATAACTTTAAGACAAGGTAAAGTAGAATCTCATAAAAAATGTTTTGGCCACAAGGATTATGAGAATAGTCAGAAGAAATGAAGTAAGAGATAAAAATAATAAAGTTAGCATTGAAGTAAAAACTCTGGCCTCAGACACTTACTAGCTATGTGATCCTGGGCAAGTCACTTAACCCTGTTTGGTCAGTTTCTTCATCTGTAAAAATGAGCTAAAGAAAGAAATGGCAAACCAATCTAGTATCTTTGCCAACACAAACAAACAAACAAACAAATGGGATCATAAAGAGTTGTTCATGACTAAAAAATGACTAACCAATAACAATAACAAGCTCTGAAGGAAAAGGTTCTTCAGAACTCTGCTATTACCATCTAGGACACCACCATCTACCTAGTGGCCCATGTTTGAAACCTTTCTGTTACCCTGGATTCCTCATTCTTCTTATCCTCCACTCATATCCAATCAGTCACCGGATTTAGTTGTCTGCATCTCCATGTCTCTCATCTAAGTAACCTTTTCTACATTCACACAGACTTTGCTTCAGTCCATCATTGCCTCTGCCTTGGATTATAGCCATAGGTTTTTCTAATTAGTCTCCCTGACTAAAGCTTCCCCCCACTGCAATTCATCCTTCACACACATGTCAAAGCGATTTTCCTAAAGCTCAGGTCTGACCATGTCACCCCCTTCTCAATAAACTCAGTGGCTCCCTATTGCCTCTGGGATAAAATAGAAACTTCTCTGTTTGGCATTTAAAGTTCTTTACCACCTCATCCCACCCTGTCTTTCCAGTTTTCTTACACACTATTTCCCACTATGTATTATATAGTCTAGCCATTTGGGCCTACTTGGTCTTCCTATAATGTCTCCATCTCCCATCTCTATGTCTCTGTACTGACTGTCTTTTATATCTAGAATACTTTCCATCTCCCATCTCTATGTCTCTGTACTGACTGTCTTTTATATCTAGAATACTTTTCTTCCTCATCTCTGCCTTTTAGAATCCCTGGTTTCCTTCAAGATTGAACTTGAGCCTTACCATCTCTAGGAGGTTTTTCTCTTCCCACATCTAGCTGTCTGTGCCTTCCTCTCTAAGGTTACCTTTCTCTCTCTCTCTCTCTCTCTCTCTCTCTCTCTCTCTCTCTCTCTTTCTCCCTCCCTCCCCCATTTACTTGCCCTCCCTCCCTAACTCCCTCTCTCTCTGCCTTTCTCTCCTTCTCTCTATCTCTCCCTCTCTGTCTCTCTCCATTTCTCTCTCTTTGTCTCTCCATTTCTCTCTCCACTTCTCTCTATTTGTATCTCTTTTATCTCTATCTCTTTCTCTCTATATCTCTCTGTCTATCTCTATCTCTTTCTATCTATTTATATCTCTACCTCTGTCTCTATATCTATCTATACATATATACATACATAGATATGTAGTCACAGACATACACACACATGTCAAATATACATATTCTCTTCCCTCTCTCATTCAAATATAAACTCCTTTACCCCTAAAATTTGGCACAGTACCTGGCACACCGTAAGCACTTCATAACTACTTGCTGATAATTGATCATAGTCCTTGTGCCTTTGCTGCTTCTTCTTGTTGGTTGTTAGACCCAATATTAAAATGCCAGCACTTGGTCTCTACAGATTTTTTCCCTGCCTTCTCTGTCTAGGCTACTCTGTTTTGTCCCTTCTGGGTCCATTTAGTGGTGTTCCACCCATCCCCTGCCCAAGAGGAGGAGATGAGAAGAGTGAGTAGAAAGACTGCTGAACTTGGAGCCAAAGGGACCCAGGTTCAAAATCCTAGCTCTGCCTCTTCTTGCCTTGTGTAGTGAGCAACATGACCTTGGGCACCTTTTCAAGTCGTTATTTCCTCATCTATAAAATGAGGAGGTTGGACTAAGTGACCTTTAAGGTCTTTTCCATCTCTATGATCCTAAGCAGAATAAAGATGAAATGTGTCCCTGCTACCTGCCATCTACAGCTGGAAGGAAATCATCCCCATTCCTATTTTTCACATAAGCATTCTCTCCTTGGCTCTTCTTTTAAAAAATCTTCTCTGGGGTAGATAGGTGGCACAGTGGATAGAATACCAGCCCTGGAGTCAGGAGGAACCTGAGTTCAAATCCGGCCCCAGACACGTAACACTCAATAGCTGTTTGACCCTGGGCAAGTCACTTAACCCCAGTTACCTCACCAAAAAAAAAAAATCTTCTCCCCCTCCCTCTTTATTATGGGGACAAATCAGTATTCATCAACCCTACACATTTATTAAGCACCTGCTATGTGCCAGGTACTAGGGATACAAATAAGAATAAAACTATCCCAACTCTCAAGGAGTTTACATCTTAACATTCATGTATTTCATGTATTCATCCATTTCATGTGTTTATTTATTTAAGGACCTAAGGGGACCTCTAGTGACTAACTCCTGCATTTTATTTTGTATTATTTCTCAAATGGTTTGTCTTGATAAGTAATCTTTCAATCAGTCTGGAAGCTCCTTATGGGCAGAGGTCATGTCTTATACGGCTTGGCCCAAGAGGATTCAGATGGAAGTTATGGAAGAATTAAATTCCTCAGATTGGTTCCTGTCCATGTTTTTACATGTGTCATTTTGCTCATATCTAAACTAAGCCTTCTCTGCTACTTTCCCCACTGACTGAAATTCTTTTCATCTTTCAATACCCAGCTCAAATTCCACCTCTTCCATGAAGGCTTTCATGATCTCCATCCTCCTTTTCCCCAACAAGATGGTGAATTGTTTACACGGTGTTTTTAGCTCTGCAAAAGCACTTTCCTCACAATAATCCTGTGAAGTTGGTAGAACAAGGACCATTAGCCCAAATTTTCAGAGGAGCAAACAGGCTCAGAAAGGTTGAAACAATTTTCCCATGGGCACACAGCTAGTGTCAGAGGTAGGACTCAAAGTCAGATCACCTGACCCCAGGTCAGGATCATAGACATGGAACTGTCCCTCACCCTTGCCACTATATGCCCTAGTGTGCCACACCACCATCTGACTGAATGAAGAGGAATGTGTGTCAAGTAAGTGCTCACTAAATATTTGTTACAAATCAGAAAGGAAGGAAGGAAGGAAAGAAGGAGGAAGGGAGGAAGAAAGGAATGAGGGAGGGAAGGAGAGAGGGAGGAAGGAAAGGAAGGAGAGAAGAAGGAAGAAGGAAAGGACAGAGAAAAGGAGGAAGGAAAGAAGGAAGGAAGGAGGGAAGGAGGAAAGGAGGAAGAAAGGAAGGAAGAAGTAAAGGATGGAGGAAAGGAGGAAAGGAGGAAGGAAGGAAAGAAAGGAGAAAAGAAGAAGGAAAAGAGGGAGGTAAGGAAAGAAGGAAGGGAGGAAAGAAGAAAGGGAAGGATGGAGGGAGGAAGGAAGGAAAGTTTGAGAGGCTGGGGTAGGAATAAAGGAGAAAGTTTCTCTTACCACATCCAACTCTATTTTTTCCAGAACATCCACCAGAACCTCAATCTTCCTTTCTTCAGTGAAAAGAAAGTCCTCATCCACCCACAGCAACTACTTGGTAGTAACCTGAGGTGGGGCCAGATTTTTTTCAGCAAACCAGCCCTGGCAATGGGAACAGCAGAGTAAATAATAAGAGAAAGCTAAGCAATAGAATCATTCTCAGCCTGTTGCCACAAAGAAGAGAGGAAACTATTTTTGCTGCCAGGTCAAGTTGGAGGGGGGAGGGGGTTGAATTTATTCTTTGTCTTCTTTCAGCTCAGTCTCTAACCTAGAGAGCTGCTAATGCCCCTCATGTGCAGCCATTCACCTTGCTGGCTCCAGAGTCATCAGGCTTTTGCCAGGACTGCTGGGCTGGGGAATGCCATTACTCATTCACCCATGTAGTGTCTCTTTCCCTTTCTTTACTTCAGCTGCAAAACAGATATGTCTTTTCTGCCTCTACTGACCCCTTCACTCCAGCTGCTTCTTTCTTTCAAACCTCCCATCTCAGAAGGCTACCCACCAATATGAGTCCTTGTCTTGTGATTCTACCACTCTGCAATCAGATAGAATCCAAACAATTTGAGAGGCAGTGTGGTAAAGTGGAAAGACCACTTGCAAAGACTTAGAGACTGACCAATGTAGATAACCAGCCAGGATTCCGGAGACTCAAGCATGCTACCCACCTCCCGACAGAAAGGCAATGGACTCAAGATGCAGGAAGAGATGTTTTTGGAGATGGCCAATACAGGAATTTGTTTTGCTTAATTATGCATATTTATTACAAAGGTTTGGTTTGGTTTCCAGTGGGGTGGGGATGAGAAGGAAAGAAAATAAGTATTTGTTAATTGAAAAAAGTTTTTAAAAAAAGAAAGCTCATTGGCTTTGGAGTCAATGGACCTGGGTTCAAAACCTGACCCATCACTTCCTACTTGTGTGACCTTTGGTAGGTCACTTAACATCTCTGGGCCTCAGTTTTCTCATCTGTAAAAATTAGAGGGTTAGGGCAGATAATTTCTAGGTCCCTCCCAGCTCTAAATCTAGGAGCTTTCATAGATATCTAGAGAATCTTGTCCCCCCCTCTCTAAAGAGGGACTGCCTACTAGGGAACCAAAGAAAAGACTGCAAGGCTGGCCTCTCTGTGCTCCTCAGAGAGGGAATACCAGACTAGAATTATATTTATCTGTACCCCAAAATATTGCTGGTCTAGGGAAATGACTTTTTTTTATTGGGTTCAAGCTTCATTTCTGATCATTATCTCTTAAAGAAGAAGGAGTTCCTCCAAGCTTATATCTTCAGGCTTGATTCCTTATCACTAAATGCTAGTTACACAAAAGATCATCACAAAAAGTGAACTGTGAACAAACTTATTTATCTGAGCACACAACAAACAGAAATCAGAAAAGTTATACAGATAAAAATACACCAGAAAACACAGAGTAAATGAGGTCCTTCACTGGAAACAAGACATCTTGACTCAGCTGAGAGGGTGAGCCCCTTACCTTTCCCAAGGGGAAATTCCCTAAATTCTCTAAGAAAGGAAGCTGAAAATCAGGGTTATGTTAAGACATGCTCCTGCCTGCTGCTTCCCAAAGTCTCCTCCTTCTCTCCCTCTCCCACCTCCTTTCTCCCTGAAGAGTCTTGAACCATATGTATCCTTTCCCTAACACAGACAGTAAGTAATTATCTGGAATCTGGAACCATGCCCAGGCAGCAACAGACACATGCTCCTAAGCAACCTATTTTATATTTTCAAGGAGTGATCCCTCTGGGTACCAATAATCATAAGAAATGAAATAATGGTAATTCTCCTTGGCCCCTCAGTAAAAAATCTGTTGTCCTTGCAAATCACCTCAAGTGTACAGATACGGCTGGAAGTACATAATATAAAACATGCTTTACTACATTTACAACTTAGTTGCAAGCAACCATTCCAAACAGTTCATTCATTAGGTACCCAGTTCCATCTGAGTGGTGCAGTGGACAGAGTACCAAGCCTGGAGTTGGGAAGATCTGAGTTCAAATCTGGATTTAGACACTAACAGTGTGACCCTGGATAAGTCATTTAACCCTGTTTGTCTCAGTTTCCTCATCTGTAAAATGAACTGGAGAAGGAAATAGCAAACTACTCCAGTATCTTTGAAAGAAAACCCCAAATGGGGTCACAAAGACTCAGACACAATGAAAATGACTAAACAACAGCAGCCTAACACTCAATTTAAAATTGCTTACAATAGAGCAAACACAAAGCTCACATGCAAGAACACAGTACAAAATGCCATATAGCAAAGTTGCATGTTGTAAAGCAGTGTATCAGTCACATTCAAATACATACCACAGAACAATATATTAGAAATTGAGGGGATGCCCATCAACTGGGGAATGGCTGAACAAGTTGTGGTATATGAATGTAATGGAATACAATTGTGTTATAAGAAATGATGAGCACGAGGCTCTCAGAATAACCTGGAAAGACTTACATGAACTGATGAAAAGCGAAATGAGCAGAGCCAGGAAAATATTGTACACAATATCAGGAGCATTGTGTAATGACCAACTATGAATGACTTAACTCTTCTCAGCAACACAATGATCCAAGACAATTACAAAGGACTCATGATGGAAAATGCTATCCACATCTGGATAAAGAACTGATGGACTCTGAATGCAGAGCAAAGCATACTTTTTTCATTCTATTTGTGTGTGTGTGTGTTTTTTTCCTTTCAATCTGTTTTGCCTTTTCAGAAATGTGACTAATATAGAAATATGTTTTACATGATTGCACATATGCAACCTATATCAAATTGCTTACCATTTTGGGAAAAGGAGAGGGGAGGGAGGGAGAAAGAAAAATTTGGAACTCAAAATCTTGTAAAAATGAATACTAAAAATTGTCTTTACATATAATTTGAAAAAAATAAAATATTATTAAAAAATACATACCATATACTATTATATCAGAATTGCATACAGTAAATCAAATATCCAAGTAATATGTAAACATATAACTCAGAGTATTATATGTTGAGATTTCATACCAGGTACACATTATACACATCAATAGGAATCGACTAACTGCATAAGTAGCCATTTCTCCCATTATTCCAGGAACATCATATTGCTCAGGGGTGGGGAACCTGTGGAGGCCACAGATCTGTTCTGTGAAGTTTGGACTCAGTCAAAGGGCTGCACTTGAGCACCTAGAGGGCCACATGTGGCCTCAAGGCCACAGGTTCCCCACCCCTGGTCTAGTCACTGGTCAGATAGCCCTGGAACTTCTATGGTTCCTCACTGTCAGCCCTGTATCTTCATTATCCTAGGGTACTCTGGCCTACATATCCAGTTCTGGAATAGTAGATGGCCCCAATTGAATGCAACTATGTCCAGCCCCTAGTTTGTCAGGCTCTGTATGTAGCCACATTTCCCTTTGGGTCTATAAAACTAGAATACTAAATGAGCAGCCTCTAATTGCAGACTGCCCTCTCCTCTCTGAGCAGGGGTCTCCCCTTATTCTGGATGAATCTTGGAAAGCTTTCCAAACACTCAAGAAGATACCAACATGCAGTTTCCTCTTCACCTGGATCTTGATCCATAGCTTTCCCATTGAGCCTTTGTCTGGCATCAACTGTTCATCTGCTGCTGGTGAATGAACTCTCCTCAGAGAGCCCTTCCACTCCCCTCCACTGCTCTCATCCTCCTGGGTTACCAGGGAGTGCGACTCACTCACCCGTAGGAAATTGCCATGTACCATCTGTAGCTCCTGACTATTTTGTAGACTGGTTGGTTACCCAGTCTTTCTACTACTTGATATGGAGTAGCTGTCTATGCCAGTTTTCCACTAATTTGCTACCTTCTTTTCACTGGACATCAAGATTTCTTGGTTGACCTCAACTCCCTGGTTAGAGCTCCTGAGAGCAAACTGTAACATCATACCATCATTTCTTACTCTGTGTCCTTCTGAGCTCATTCCATAACTAGGTGTTAGGGCCCAATGATGTCCTATTTGAGTCTCCGCATTTTCTCCATTTTCTTAGATTTCAAAGCACAGGTCAGTAGTACAAGCAGTAAGTAATTACTTTCTCTACTTACCTACCTATGCAGAAGCAGACAAAATGTTCCTAAGCAATCCATCCTATACTTTTAAGGAGTGATCCCTCTGGGCAACTATGATTGTCACCCAACCTCAATAAGGTTGGAATGAAACCTGTAGTATCATTGGAAGTCACATCACGTGCATGCAATAGAAAAGTCACATGCTCAGCTAGGTGGCACAGTGGATAGAGTACCAGCCCTGGAGTCAGGAGGACCTGAGTTCAAATCCAACCTCAGACCAGACACTTGACACTTAACTAGCTGTGTGACCCTGGGCAAGTCACTTAAACCCAATTGCCTTTAAAAAAAAAAAAAGGCCATATGCTAACTCCACTGAGTCTTCTGATCAAGCCTCAGGATCCCTAGGATGTTGAGGAACACATAATTAAAACTCTCTGATTGCACTTCTCCTTGAGCATGGTATGGTATAAATTCCTGCCAAGTCTAATACCTGCTTGAATAGCTTGCTCCAAAATCTTGACCCTGATCAGAAGGAATCCTAGCAGGGAATCCATACACAGAAAAATACTTCTCCCACAACACCTTAACTATTAGAGAAGCTTCCTGGTTACTAGTTGAGTGAGTCTGGGTATACCAGGTGAAGTGGTCCATCATCCCTAGGATAATGATTGTATTATCCCTATTCCCTTCAGAGATAAGAAGTCTATGGACATTAATTCCAAAGACTTTTTAAAGCTTATGCACTACCAGGTGAATAACCTCAGGTCAGTAGTACCTTCCTTGCACATAATAAGCACTGGTCACATCCTCTGTACGTATATCCCCCGCCATCATGGGCCAATAGAATCTGTTCCACATCATTTGCAGAGTTTTCTCTTGGCCCATGGCTCCACTGTGGACATCTTCTGTAGCAATAGAGCATCTTGTTTTCAATGAACCAATTTGTTTTCTTGGATCTTATGTAGAAATTAGTTTATAGGGGCAGCTAGGCGGTGCAGTGGATAGAGCACCAGCCCTGAAGTCGGGAGGACCTGAGTTCAAATCTGACCTC